CCCAGGAGGGGTAGGGGTGGCTCTGGGGCAGAGGCTCCCGGCACATTTCGGGACAGGAGGTGCGGGCGCAGGGACTGAGAAACCAGAGCGGACAGTGCTGGCAGCCACCCGGCTCCGACCCACTCTCTCTGTTACTCACTGACAGCGGCAGCATCCGAGTGCATTTTCGGACAGCTCACACCCTGCTAGCCGCCCAGGATCCCGCGCTCGCCTCGCGGTATCCCCACCGGCTCGCCGCACCTCGGCTGGAGCTGAGGACCCGCCGCCAGGCACTCCGGGTCCGCCCACCTCGCCGCCTCCATTGGCTGAACCTCGGATGAAGAACCGCCCCTCCGCGTCTCTCATTTGATAAAAGGAGTGCAGAGAGCGCCGTTCTGGAGCGGTCAAGGAGGCCCCGCCCCCTCACGTCCAATGCGATTGGTCCCGGCGCCTGGGCCCCGTAACGCCCCTGGCGGAGACCACGCTCTGGAGTATCATGTTGGGCCCGGCTGCTGTCACTCATCCCCGGGGGTCCAAAAGCGCGTGTAGGGGCGGGGCTGGGGAATTGGTCCACCTTGACCCTGACGCTCCGCCCCGTCGCGGGCGGGATTGGTGGAGCCGCAGACCAACCAAGAAAGATGGGTCGGCGTCTGAAACAAAGCACGCGAAGTGTTCCCAGAAAAACCTAGAAGGGGAGGCGCGGTCGGGGCAGTTTGTATCTCGCTGCTCCGAGGGGGAGAGGCCGCCATTCCCCCGCACCTGGCGCATCGCGACCGGGACTCCCGCTCGTCTCGCACGCCTCAGAGCGGCTCTGCGCAGGAGCCGGTCCGCGCCGAGCTTGGACTGGCGCTCCTCTCGCCAGCAGATTCCTGCAGCTGGAAACTGGATACGGAATCGCCGCGTCTTCATTGCCAGCGAGCCCTCTGGTGAGGAACAAATAGCCATTCCTCGTACAACAGTCCATGCTCTCGCCGTTTTCGATGTGCGCTTTTCCGGAGTTAGCGCGCTTCGCCCGCGTCGTCACAGATGGGCAGTTCTAACGGCGTCGAATGTTCCAGGCAGTGCCCGTCGCACGCACCTGCGGGCTGCCGACGCTGCCAGCGAATCCAGCGCCGCGCCCTGACGCGCGGGCGCCGGGTGGCACGTGGGCAGGTCACCAGCCCTCCAGGGACGACGAGCACAGCTGGCGTAAGCTAAGACCACCGAAGTCATCGACGCTGGGTGGCGGTCCAGGAAACAAAATTGGCTGTCCCTTCGCAGAGGAAGACGTTCATTCAGGGGAACGCTAACCATTGAGTTTCCTAAGTCAAAAATTTGCACCATTTTCATGAGTTCGACCAGTTTTTTCAGTGCTTTCAAACCAACTCATCCCACATTATTGTAGTGAGTAATAGTATTTTGAGGCATTACTGGAGGGTTGTCCCCTCCTACCCCAACCACAGCACACCGGACACCACCACTTCCCTGTATGCCAAGGCCCTGCCCCAGCTGGCACCGGGGCGCTCTGCTGATCCTGCCTCGGAGAGTGGGTGACACCACAAACAACTGGTGACACAACATCAGCCGTTTTGGGTTTAGATTTCTACAGCCAAGGCTCCTGAGTTGCAGGGTTCTGAAATTTACGTTTCAAATCAGGGCATAATGTGACACCAAACACAAGGAATTTAAGAACAGAATCAAACCAGTTCCTCCGTCCAGCACCACTGGCACTCAATCCATAGTGTCTCAATAAATTACATCCTTGTAATTTATAAAACATAATCTATGGTGTTCCTATCATTCAAGCAGTTATGAATCACTTCATCTAATCATAGAATCTCAGGATTAAACCTGAATTTATCCACCTCAGTTTCCTTCTCAAGACAAGAGTATCATCCGTATGGGTGACTTTAACCTGACAGCGTCAGCTGGGCCGCACAGAGAGGGGTAGGTACCTCTGGGCTCTGAGATAGGCCATCCTTGTCAAGCAGACTAATTGTAAAAATATCTGTCCTTGCTCTCAGCAGAAAAGCTGCATTCTTTATCCCATTTGTGTTTTAACCTGTTCTATATCTAGGAAGTAATAAATTATATATAGTTTATTCAAGTTTGTAATATTCTGTATATGTAATATTTGTATGGGTTTTTTTTCCTGCTCATCATATTTAAAGGGCTGAGACACAGATGTTATTTGCATAGGAAAAGGCTTGCTTCCTGACACCTCTAAAATTCAAATAAGTCCACAATTCATTTGTTTTAGGTAGCCATTTCCTATATGGATTTATCTGCAGCAAACTTAGTAATAATGTATTTAATAACAATTAAGCTACATGAGGGCCCTGCCGGCTACTTTGCCCCTAACACCCAGCAGTCTTTGGGCACAGGGTGTCCCTAGAAAAATATAGAATGTACAGCCTTTGTTATTTTTTTTCAGTTGAGTCAGTATGATTATTTTCAAATAAAAAACAATAATTTATACAGATCTTTGTAGTGGGTTACCTACAGCTGGAAAATTGAAAAGCAAACCTCATTCTTAGTCTGCTAAACCTCACTGCCCCCACATGTTTTTGAATAATAACACAGGTATAAATGACTACATAATATTCTGTAAATATTATCCCATCATTTTAATAATTCATAAGATTATAAACCTTTAAGGGCAGGAAACTTGTTACATTTAGCTTTATGTCCCTAGTACCTAGTACAGTGCTTTCAAATAGTAGGTACTAGTTAACTGTTCCTTAAAGTGAACTGAATGTTGACTGTAAAATGAAATTTTAGGTCTGGAAGGAAACTTGGAGATTATCAAATCCAAATTCCTCATTTTAAGAATATGAAACTTGAAGTCCAAAAGAGTTAAATGTCTAATCCAAGTCACTCAGCTAGTTAATAACAAAGCATTAATTAAATTCAACTTTCCTAACTCCTAGACCAGGCAGGTATTTTCCCCTGCACCACACTGTCCAATCAGTATCAAAGCTTCGAATTCCAAAGATGGGTAAATTATTCTCCCTTCCCATTTGAAAGTTATTATATCAATCTAATACAAATTCTATACTTCAGAGCTGGAATATTCACTTTTTAAATGAAATTCAGTAAGAATTTTTTTAAATATACATTTCAATTTTTTTCTTGTTGGTAGCATTCCCAAATAACTTGATCCCTGTGGGGATGTTTACTGAGATAATAGAGTTACACTCTATGTGTTTATATTCAAATCCTTGGAGAAAAAAATTAATAATTATCTTAGGACTGTGATGGGTAGAGATATTTGGGAACACAGTCTTTCTGCCGTCTTGCTTCACCTGGTTACTGCTTTAAGGTGATTTTAAAGCAAGTAAACTTGTGTCAACTGATACCTAATTGCATTGGATTTTTCTATTTTATTAGTTGTACAATATTAATTTTAATCAGATATATTTTTAAATACCCTAAACCTAGATTAAAATTTGATATGGAAAAGTCTAGTGAGAGAGAAAACAGCAGAGCTCTAAATCAAATTTTAAAACTTCCTCCCCCCCAATTCTACAAACCCCACAATAGCATGGTTTTCCTGCAGGTGTTAGGGTTGGTGGTATAGAATGAGGAATGGCATAATCCTCAAAACTAAAATAACGTTGGGCCTTCTCAGACAAATAGATAAATGTGCCCCTGGTAAGATTTGAAGAGAGTGAGAAAGAACATATGCCAGGGAGGAAGTAAATACAGTTGACCCTTGAACAATGCAGGACTGAGGGGTGCTGACCCCACTCACAGTCAAAAAGCCACATACAACTTTTGACTCCCTCAAAACTTAACTGTTAATAGCCTTAAGGATAGCATAAATAATTAACACATACTTTGTACATTATACGTATTACATACTGTATTCCTACAATACAGTAAGCCAGAGAAAAGAAAATATTAAAATCGTAAGGAAAACATATTTACAGTATTTATTTTTTTTAAAATCCATGTATAAGCGGACCCATATAGTTCAAACCCTTGTTGTTCGAGGATCAACTGTATATCCACAGAGGTCAACATCGTTCATTTCTCCAAACTCATAACCAGCTCACAGTTTGCCAACCCAAATAATGATAACTCTTTTTAGTGTTTCCAAGGTGATAGACACTACTCTTATAGTGCTTTGCTTGTAAATTATTCCACCACCCCAGTGGGGTACTACTATTATCCCCACTTTATTGGTAAGTTGACCAAGGCTTAGAGAGCTTCAGTAACTTGCCACTCAGCTAATAGATAATAGTGTCCCTAAGTAGCCAAACTCCCTATGTTATAATGTTCCCATGCTGGGGTTCAGTTCCCTCTCTTTTTATTAATACATGCCCTACATACCTGAGAGATTTATTTATAAGATTACAAGAATATGGATGTGAATGTGTTTTAAAAGATAGTGACATCTGACCTCTTTCTTGAGTTGAATATCTAACCACTCAGGCTGCCTTTGTAGACACATATTAGGAAAAATATCAGTCAGATTATTTCCAGGTTACTACATCTTTCTTATCTATTTTATTCTTTTGACCTTATTTCAACAGCAACTATCCACTTCACGGTATATTATTAATAAAATTATCCAGAGTCTCTAGTGAGGCTCTGCTGAATGTAAAAAATTCTCTACTCTGAAAAATCAGTGAGAGGGGGCAGCCTCTTCAACCTACTGGAATTCACCTTTTAACCACTGAGGCCTGTGTTAATTTCAGCTTGTAAGCTTTTAATTACATATGATTGTCACTGTAACATATGTTGCTTTTCACATACATACATAGAACAGTTTTGCTAATAGCCACTTGCCAGATGCTACTAGGGTAATAAAAATGTTGGTTTAATTTTTCAATACCTGCATACAATCAGGTCTTAATTATCAGGTTAGTGGGAAAAGCATAGAAGTAGGCATTGACCTCACTGTCACCAGTGAGGACGGCCTCTCCTCAAAACTGGCAGTGACTGACAAGCTGTAAAGATGGCAATGGCATCATTTGCCTGCCATCTTGCTTTACTACGCTTTCTCTGTTATCAGACTCCTTTTTCCCTACCTACCTCACACCAGAGGTCAGATGCTGACAAACACATAAGCACTACAAGTTACTTCATAGAACTGTTATGTCCCTGTCACGTAGGCTTATAATGCACATTCAAGAGATTTCCATTTTTTCATCATCCTTCACTGGGGCTACGACATGTTCCCCAATGTAAAAAAACCCTTCACAGATGGAACTTTCTAGAACCAATTCACACTGGGCATTTTATCCTTGGGAGTCCTTTTGCCATTTTTTTCTGAGG